CGAGATACTGGAGGACAAACATTCTTTCCGTCGCTTACTCATGATGTATGTCAAATTGAGACATAACGGAATATTTGACGCCTTATTTTCAAGTGTTCAATTACCTTACTGCTCTCTTAGGCCAAATGGGTGCCACAAAACTGTGTACAGAAAATGCCGGTATATCAAGACTGCGAGAGAACTGAGGGACTTGGATCGCCAGCTTCTGACGCAGCAATCGCAGTGCACTCTTTATTATACAGTGCGCACCCATAATCGGTACTTGTCCCTAGGAAAGTACATTTCCGATATTGCGGACTTTTGTTGCTCAAATCTATTCTTAACGCACACCAACAGCCGTCGAGGAACATGAATAATTTCAACATCCCTGTTCGACTCACATGCATCTTTGGGACTAGTTGCAAGAGCTATATTGTGCCCAGAATGCAAGCGCCCCTGTTATGAAATAGAAAAGGGGCGTTCTACTGAAAGCACAATTTTGGAACGGCAGAAGGTGATTCTTTCAGCAGTCACACAAAGGAAACGTATGAGCAAGTTTAATGAGGAGAAGCGGAAACAGCAACCAGTAGAGAGTCCAAAGGTGAAAGTGAAGCGTTTTTTTACAGCTGAAGTAGGATTCTGCTATAGAACTACTGCACAGAGACAAAAGCGCTTCTTTTCAACGGCCCGTTCAACTGTTACGAAAAAAAAGCTAATTTTTTGCTGTCTGATTATGTTACGTTAATGAAGAACGTCAGAACACAATTTGATGCAATTGGAAAGCGTGACGACAAGATAAAGATTCTAATGCTTTCTTCAGAGTTGTGGTCCAGAAAGCAAGTTATGGTCTATTTCAGTTCTCCGCGAAGACAAGCACTCTAAGCAATCAGGCTGAGGACAGAACACGGAATCCTAGGCATTCTACCAAGAATGAGGGGCCATCCAATAATAGAGCAAGTAAAGTGCCCATTAAGAGAAGCTCATGAGGATGACACTGTGTCATGCTGTCTGCCAGGGAGTAAAGATGCAAAATCATCGTGAAAAAAACGGCTTCTGCTTTTGAACTTAAGAGAGTTTTATGCTAACTGGAAAGATACCCCTGACATCAAGTGTAATTTTTTTTGTGTTTGCCAGCTTGCGACCATCAAAATGCGTGGTAGTGAGAGCAAGTAGCACGCACTTTGCGTCCTCATAAAGCATCAAAACTTTAAATTAATAATCCACAATTTAGGAACAAAGAAGACTTTGGAAAAATTGTTAACTACAACTGTTTTCAACCCAGAAAATGAAGATTGCATGTATCGGAAATGTTACGCTTGTCCTGGCACGAATCATGCCAGAGCATGCTTCTTAACAGATCAGCCTTCCACACTGGTCTCGAACACACACATGTACATCAGTGAGTCAGCGGCCCACGATGCAAACTAGAAACACCTTTCCTAACACTGGAAGACTTCCGAGCAAACGTTTTAGAGATCCTAGACAAAGTAAAAATCTTTATTACATCAGCAAAAAGAAAGCAACCTACCTTCGTCATGTGAAGTCAAAGCTCACGAAAACCGAAGCATTCATTTTTCTGGACTTCTGAGAAAAGTACTCTTTCGCCGTACAGGATGCGCCACAGGCTTACCATTGGTGAATGAGCAAGCAATGCTCTACCCATTCGTAGTTTATTGCTTGCCTGACGCATACGCTGTAATGAAAAAAATTGTTGGTATTTCTGACTACACAGGACAAGATGCGGTTGCAGTGTCCCCTTTCCAGACATTGGTCATGGCTCTGCTAAAGCAACAGTCACCACATTTGCAGAAAATTAATAATTTTTCAAATGAGGCTCCAGGCTAATCAAAGACAAGGGAACTTTTTGAACCTCTGCCATCACGAACAAGACTACGTAATGCGCGCATCTCAAAGTCTTGTTCTTCATAGCACTGCTCATCGCAAGCGAATGCTGATGTGACAGCTCATCGCAGGAGCACCTGCGATGGTATTGGGGTTAGATTGGAACGTCTAGCAGTCCGAGCAAATAATGAGAGGCCGTTAGAAATAAAATTAGGCCGCCACAATAACTATTAACATAAGCTCGAGACAAGATACAGAGCATAACTATTCTTTGGGTATCAAAGAAGGCTCTTGAACAGAAAAGCGCACAACTGTCTTTTCGGCTTTGAAAAGCGACTACAGTGAAAAGAATTCGAATGTATCATTGCGTTAGACCATTCTCGTTGATTTTATTGCATGCTGAAAGCACAACATTTTCAACAACAATGTTCGGGTATGAGACTAAGCTCTGAAATATAAAAGACGAAGTAAAGGAGACTTATTGTTCAACCTAACTGTGATGCCATTTATGAACGGAGTCCTTTTAGAAAGAAAAAGGGGCATTAAGGCATACCTTTGCAGTTCTCGTTCTGCAGTTGGGATGATTTGTTGTACTGGGGTCTTTTATCGAACAACGGAGTACAAAATACTCTCTCGCGTTGCTTCTTTTCGATTGTTCATTCAGCCTCCTAAAGAAAAAGTGACCAATTAAATATCTGCGAATGGTGAATTGTGCTTGTAAAGGCAGAATTTTGAGATTGGTGCGTCAACCTGACGTTGCATAATGCTAGATAACTGATATCTCTCACAGGCAGCCCTGTGACTTGCATTATTCGCAGCACGCTAACTCGGGTGACGGCGAAAGAGCAGCCGCTTGTATGTCGCGCAGACGTGTTGTGAGGTGAAGACGAAACAAAAGGAACCATGGCTCAGGCATGTGGCTGCTAAGTTCAATTTTTTTCTTGCTTCAAACAAGAACTACTCTTTTGAAACTTTGGATACAAGGTATCGACATACTTTACAATGAAGCAGTTTATAACTCAGATTTTTACTTGGAACGTGAAGTTCTGAAGAGGATGGCCTACTTTTAGTAAATTAGCATTCTTTATTATTTTTCTGAACTTCAGACGCGTTGTCTCAGCTTTATTTGATGAATCATTATTTCCTTCATTAGTATACCTTCCAGTTATGTTGGTTTTGTGATCATAATTTGCACGAAAAAAACAGTGGCTTTTAGCAAAAATTACCAAATGCTGCTTGTTTCTATGTTTTGTCACGCCGAAAAATAATGTATATTCACAAAAAACGAACAAAAAATAATATTCATGAAAAACAAATGCCTAAAAAATACGAAAAATGTGCGCAAGTAATGGCGAAAAGCAGTGTAATAACTTTATAGAAGTTCTTTTTCACAACACAGAGTTACTTCAGAGCGCAAAGCTTGGAAGCACCCCATAGGTTGTGGGGGTGCTGACACCCCCCCTGTAAAGTTGTCTGCGCCGCGTGGCGCACGTGTCTCGCCCCAAGGCTTTATTTCGGTGGTGACCACCGCCGGGCAATAGATGGCGTTGTGTTCGCTTTGAGTACCACTGTTGGTAGAGTGGTAGTGCCGGAGGTGGCACCTGGCGGAAGGCAGGCCTTGGTGGTGGGCGAGGGTTGAGCGAGCCTCTTTGGCGCGTGGTGGCTGCCGCGAACGGTTGTCTGTAGCGTGGGTCCCCGGTGCACGGCACCGCGGGCTTCGCGCCGGTGTCCCACGTGGAAAGTCAGGCGTTGGCGATGCCGCCTTGGGTATGTGTTAGTGTGTTGGGTGTGTTAGTGTGTGTTTATCATGTTATTGTGTGTTTTGTGTGTCACTGCGTTATGTTGTTTGTATGGTAGCGTGTTAATTGAAAATGGTGTATCATTCGGCGGACGATATCGTCGTCTAAATTAGTTAATAAATGTATGTATATTGTGTGCTTTGTACCAACCGCCTCTGCTGTGTCCGTTCACTCCAAGAGCGTGGCGTGGCGATGCGCTCGTTCGCCTCGCGGAGACCCCACATGGTGCCAAGAAATTTTTGCCCGAAAAGTTATGTGGCAATAATTGCTTTTCACACGAAGGTGTAAAAGCGAATTTTTCTCAGCGAGATCAGAGATGGTAGAAAATTGAAAGGGTACACTTGATATCTGAACTGTCTGCTACTTTTCGGTAGTGTTGAGTTCTGGCACATTTGGCTAATTGGGAGCTTACGTTAGATAATGCTACACAATTCCCATTACATTAATTCACTTAAAAACAGCGCCAATAACGAGGGACAAGAGAAAGAAGGAGACAGACAGCGGCACTGATTTACAACAAAAATTTATTTGCTAGAACCGCACAATATATACTTGGGCAGCATCTGACAAAAAAGAGAAATACAAAACAAACAAAACAGAATCCACCTAACAACCACGTAGTCATCTCTACAACGCACCATGAACAACACGTGTGCTAACGTTCCGAAGGAAATCTATTTCTTTTAGTGATAGCGCAATCGAAGGCCTGCTGACACATGCACTGCCCTCGTTATTGGCGCTGTTTTTTAAGTGAATCATGTCGTGCCAACTCGCCCAAGCAACCACCTTAGCTACCCATTACATTAAGTTTGTCACAGTTGTGTTACCTTATGGTGACTGTTTTTTTTTTTTTTGACGGGGCGATTTGGCCATGTGGCCTGGTGCAGCGTAATAGTGGCTAACTACCAGCTGATGTTATTTGATGCTTCCCACAGTGTAGTGTTGTTGGCTATGTGCTCTTATAAAAATGGCACATGTATTCCACGCGAATAACCTTGACAGTGCCAATCATCCTTTAGCGTAGCCCGATCTGCCTGAAATAAGTCAACGTGCACGTCTAGTTGAAACTAAAGAGTATGGTGCAGTGTAGGTTCCTACTTCTCCGCAATTTTGAATCGTTCTTGACTGATCGTGGTGTAATTGATGTTTCAAGCTAATTGTCGTGACACCAGGGCTACACAATTCTTCAATCCGTCTCATAGTGTTCGTCTCAACGAGAAGCTATGCAGCATACTAAGCTCTTTTTTTACTGTTTTGAAAAAGGTAGCTTCTCATAGGCATCCCTATGAGTAGTATATTGGAAAAATATCTGGGAAGACGTATCAGTTTATGTCTTTCAGAATATGCTTAATTGTTTTGGTGCTTTTTAATTCTTTTCAGATTCCCACTATGAAGTACGCGTGAAGAATATTACATTTGGACATCCCGATCCTGAATGTGTACGACAATTTATGAATATTTCAGGTCATAGCTATAAAACAATCACAAATGATTCTTGTCTCAATACATAGCTTACATCTGCACGGGCATCCATTGCTCCCCTGCAAAATATTTATGGTAATAGGTGCAATTTAAACGTTGCCATTGCGAATTTGAGCACCTTATGCAATGAATGATTTAGCATACGAGTGTGAACCAAACAAAACTTCAGCATTTCACTGAAGTGCCATAAATATCTGCTTATAGAAAAATATGAAGAGTGTGAATGATGATGGGAGTTGGTTTCAAAAAACTTGTATATTTTCGAATAAATTTTGTGCTGTGTTTGTGGGCAAATAGTATTGTTACACTTGTCTTATCGTAGTTTGCTTAGGATTTAGGGAAACCCATCAAACAGCATAGGTTACTTATATTTGAGTTGTATGCCTTGTTTCTGTATTGCCGGACGTGATCAAGCAGTTAGCTAACAAATTGTGGAGCCTACGCTAGGCGTGTTTCATTTGATGGCGGATGTGCGGAACCTATCAATACTTCACTATCACTCTCTGCAACTATGTGGTGACACTGTGTAAGTCAAACTCGCGGATCAGATAGTTTATGTTCAGGAAAACAAAACATTCTCAGTATATTCATGGCACATGGAGCTACCTTCTTCATGGGTACTACTTTTCAATTTATATTTAGGTGACTTAAGAACCCGGTTGCTGAGCTTGCTGCATGAAGCGTCATTTTTTTTTGTTATCAAGGGCGCCTTGTTGGTGCCAGAAACATAAAGAAAGCATATGGCTCACATTCCTTGTACTTCGTTACAATTCACAATGTCCCTCTGTGGCCTAGAACGACGTCGCTTCAAAACTGGCGGGAGGCACAAGAGCACAAAAGCAGCGCCTGCTCACTTCCTGAAGATTACGCAAGGAGACTAAGGCAGAGTGGCGGCTAAACAAATGGCTAAAAAAAACAGAAGTACTATCCAGCGTTCGCCATGACGATGGTCCGAAAGTACCCACAACTTTGGCAAGTGTCGCTCTTACGCGATGAGGTTGCGCAAAACAAGTAGAGGTTATGGTGGGTTGGTGGAAAAGCCATAAAAATGACAGCTGCACAGGACTGATAATCAGGTGCTTACGTGTAAGAATGTTCATTTCGCGGATGTTCTCTGTTATACGGCACTTATCGACTAGGTGGTCGACACTCGAGAATTAAGGATAAAAATTGTGTGGATGGATAACATGCCGTCCTTGTTTGATGCAGTAACGTTTGTCTCTTTGCAAGATACATATAGTACAGCGGAAAAGCAACTGGTCTTCTAAATTATTTTGTTTTAAAGGGCCAGTAAACAGCCCTGAGGGCTGAAAATATTTAAAAAGAGATATTATATGTGCTGCTTTTCTTTGCGAACATGATTCCGCAAGTTTTTCGCGAATACATGCTATTAAGGGAGTAACAGGGGTTGGAACATCGGTCTAAGCTGGTTTCAAATTTTCGCGTGGCCTCGCCCCCCAGTTAATTTCCTCCTCCTCGACTATAGCTTCTACACTAGCTAAGAAGGAAAGATGTTCGCGGAATCGATAAGCTTCATTAGTCGACATGTCGGGAACTGGCTCTGCGCTCTGCATCAGCCCCAATAATTGCGCTACACACAGCACCCCGCTAATGGTTACCTCATACTAACTCCCCTTTTCTCCGTTCCATGAAGGGGCCCTGTAGTTGAGCGAGGCGCTGTAGTTGAGCTGTAGGCGCTGTAGTTGAGCGAGGAGTGTACACGTGCACGCGACAACTGCAAGGCTTGTTCTTTCACCGCAGTGCCAAGAAACAAGGGACAGTTTCGTAGCTGTGGGTGGAAACAGGAACTGACGTTGACTTCACTACTCTTTTTCACACCTGATTCAGACCAATCGGCGAGCTGTGTGCTACGTCATGTCACCGAACGCCGAGTTGACGTTACTGTGCGTGCAAGGGGGTCTTTCAGGCGTAGGAAAGATGTGCGCGAATCGTTTTTAAAATTAGAGGCTCTGCGCGGGGCGCAGCGCTGCAATCTTGAAAAAACGTGAACGCTGCGGCCTAACCTACGAATTGCTGAGCTTGTATGGGGGGCGTAAAAAAGTTGGAGCCTATTTACTGGCCCTTTAAGCAATAGCCCATCGGACGCTAGCTTAAGCAAACGTTCTTTATTTAATGTTTAAGAAACCTAAGCGAAATGAACCATTGAAATTTAGTGCTGGTGTTTGCCAGGTACTCGGTGCCTCATCTACAGATCACAGCATTGGCAGTGATGATGTACAAAAATGATCGTACATAGTTTTCGCCAGCGTGATTTTTTTTATTTCCTGAGCCATTTTTAACTATATAACATATCGTATGACTTTCGTGGTGAGGCGATGGCGTAGTGGTTAGAGCATCCGCCTCGCATGCAAGAGGTGCGTGGTTCAAATCCCGGTGCCGCGCAGTTCCAAACCGGAATAAAAAAATCCGCGTGTTGATGAAACTGCATTAAGAGGCCTGGGGTGCGGCCTCACCGGTAACCACCGCCGGGAATGCACTCCCTCACCAGAGAAGGATTGGCCACCCTGGTGCAGTATCTGGCCACTACCACCCACATGCATACGTGAAATAACTCATGGCCCTCCATACCCAGCAGCTGTGAAGCAACTGACCACGGCGGTGGTCAGATCTGCAACGCAGCAGAGGGTGCTAAGAATCTCTGGATCCGGACAGGCCACCATTGGAATCTGAACTTGGCAACGTTTAACACTAGAACCTTATCTAGTGAGGGAAGTCTAGCTGTACTATTCAAGGAGCTATAGGGTGTTAAATGGGATATAATAGGGCTCAGTAAGGTTAGGAGGACAGATGAGGCTATACGATGCTACAGAATGGGCACGTCTTTTGCTATCGGGGCTTGGCTGACAGAAGAAAACTGGGAGTGGGGTTCCTAATTCACAGAAACTTAGCTGGCAACATAGAGGAATACTACAGCATAAATGAAAGGGTGGCATGTTTCGTAATTAAACTGAATAAGAGATGCAAGTTGAAGGTAGTACAGGCATACGCGCCTACATTCAGCCATGATGACGCTTCAGTTGAAAGCTTTTATGAAGACGTGGAATCGGCAAAGAGTAAGGTAAAAACACAGTATACTATAGTGATGGGCGACTTTAATGCAAAGGTAGGGAAGAAGCAGGCTGGAGACCAGGCAGTAGGAGATTATGGCATCGGCACTAGAAACGCCAGAGGAGAGCTACTAGTAGAATTCGCAGAACGCAATAACTTACGGATTTTGAATACCTTCCACCGAAAACGAGAAAACCGCAAGTGGACATGGAGGAGCCCTAATGGCGAAAATAAGAACGAAATAGACTTTATAATGAGTGCCCACCGAGGAATCGTGCAGGATGTGGAAGTGGTTGGCAAGGTACAATGCAGTGACCATAAAATGGTACGGTCTCGAATTCGCCTAGACTTGAGAAAGGAACGACAGAAACTGATACGTAAGAAGGCAATCAATGAGCTAGCACTAAGAGGGAAAGTACAGGAATTCCTAGTGTCGCTGCAGAACAGGTACTCGGCTCTTAGTGAGGAAACCAACCTTAGCGTAGACACAATGAATGATAATCTGACGAGTATCATTACGGAGTGTGCAGTGGAAGTTGGAGGCAGGGTAGTTAGACAGGACACTGGCAAGCTTTCCAAGGAAACGAAGAACCTAATTAAGAAGCGTCAAATTATGAAAGTGTCATGTACAACAGACAAAATAGAACTGGCAGAGCTTTCGAAGTTGATAACAGACGTAAATAAGCGATGTAAGAAGGTATAACATGGAGAGAATTGAACACGCTCTGAAAAACGGAGGAAGCGTCAAAGCAGTGAAGAGGTAACTTGGGATAGGCAAAAGTCAGATGTATGCACCAAGGGACAAAGAAGGCAAAATAACTACCAGTATGGATAGGATAGTTAAAATAGCGGAGGAGTTTTACAGAGATCTGTACAGTAGCCGAGACAACCACGACCTTAATACTATAAGAACTAGCAGTAACCCAGATGACACCCCACCAGTAATGATAGAAGAAGTCAGAAAAGCTTTAGAGAGCATGCAAAGAGGCAAAGCTGCTGGTGAGGATTAGGTAACATCAGATTTGCTGAAAGATGGAGGACAGATTGTGTTAGAAAAAGTAGCCACCCTGTTTACGAGGTGTCTCCTGACGGAAAGAGTACCAGAGTCTTGGAAGAACGCTAACATCACCTTATACATGAGAAAGGAGATGACAAGGACTAGAAGAAGTACAGGCTGATCAGCTTGCTCTCTGTAGTATACAAGCTATTTACAAAGGTAATTGCTAACAGATTAAAGAAAACATTACAATTCAATCAACCAAAGGAACAAGCAGGTTTTCGAACAGGCTACTCAACATTTGACCACATTCATACTATCAATCAGGTAATAGAGAAATGCACAGAGTATAACCAACCACTATACATGGCCTTCGTAGATTACCAGAAGGCGTTTGATTCAGTGGAAATATCAGCCTTCATGCAGACACTGCGAAATCAGGGCGTAGATGAAGTATATATAAACATTCTGAAAGAGATCTACAGTGGATCAACTGCTACCATAGTGCTTCATAAAGAAAGCAACAGAATACCAATCAAGAAGGGTGTAAGACAGGGGGACACAATCTCCCCAATGCTATTTACCGCGTCCTTACAGGAGGTTTTCAGAAGACTAGAATGGGAACAGTTAGGGATAAGAGTTAATGGAGAATACCTTAGTAACCTGCGCTTCGCCGATGACATTGCATTGCTGAGTAACTCAGGGGACGAATTGCAACTCATGATTACGGAGTTAGACAAAGAGAGCAGAAAGGTGTGTCTTAATATTAATCTGCAGAAAACGAAAGTATTGTACAACAACCTCGGAAAAGAGCAGCGGTTCGAGATAGGTAATAGTGCACTTGAAGTTGTAAAAGACTATGTCTACTTAGGGCAGGTAATAACCGCAGAGCCGAACCACGAGAATGAAGTAACCAGAAGATTACGAATGGAGTTGAGCACATTCGGCAAGCACTCTCAAATTATGACAGGTAGATTGCCACTATCCCTCAAGAGGAAGGTATATAACAGCTGTATCTTGCCGGTACTTAGCTACGGATCAGAAACCTGGAGACTTACAAAGAGGGTTCAGCTTAAATTGAGGACGACGCAGCGAGCAGTGGAAAAAAATGGTAGGTGAAACCTTAAAATACAAGAATAGAGCAGAGTGGATTAGGGGACAAACGGCGGATAAGAATATCATAGTTGAAATAAAGAAGAGGAAATGGACATGGGCCGGGC